AAGTAATATGGCGATAGCATTTTTGAAGTCGGTTAATGCATTCTTAGCATTATACTTTAATTCTCTCCTGTCATCCCAGCCCCAAGTGACCACGAAGAATGGTGAAATACAGGGAATTGTGGAAACAGTCCAGGGACAGCCGGTCAATCTGTTTCTTGGTATTCCTTTCGCTGACCCACCTGTAGGAAGCCTCAGATTTATGAAACCCCAGCCTGTATCCAACTGGACTGGGATTAGGAACACGACTGCCTATGGCGCAGTGTGTATGCAGGAGGAAATGTTAATTTCTCATGGTACTCAGGTAATTATTAAGGGCAGGAGGGAAGAATGGATGATTGCTTGGTTGAATGAAAGTGTGTGTGTGGAGAGAGAGAGAGAGAGAGAGAGAGAGAGAGAGAGAGATTTGTGGATCTTATGGAGGCAAAAAAAATGTACTTTGTCAAACATGGATCTATTTATTGCAAAGATACTGCCTTTATATAGATCACATGGATATGGTATGTGATTCTCGCAATAAACAGTGGCGATACACCATGTTTTACCACCTTTATATAAGTTTCTTACACGTAATTTCAGTAGCAATAAAGATTCTTGCAGATTCTTGGTATTTTCCGGTCCATAGCCTGCGGTCAAGCATTTTCTTTCGCGTTGGTCAACGTTATCTCTGAGGTTCCCAATACCTTCAGGTCCGTAGCAATTTCTAAAAGCGCGGGAGGGGGGTCTTTTTACTGAAAAAGTGGACCTTTTACAATGAAATCTTCTCGTACCTAGATAAATTTACCCAACCCCCCCAACCCCCCTGGCCACGGACTGTATTTAGTTTGTTTCCATGGGAGACCATTAGGGAGATATGCGGCATCACTTTCAAGTGGGCTCGGCCATATTTGATCCGCGGACCAGTTAGTCCACTTAAAAGCTAATTTCCTAATAGACAGTGAATAGATACCCCGTGGGAATTACGGAACAAGCATTCAAGTGGGTCGGTCATATTTGATCCGCGGACTAGACAGTCCGCTGTTGGGAATGCGGCAATTGTTGTACATCAGTGGTACCGATCGCAACATTGGATTGTTGTTGAAATTATGATTTTATGATTTCATAAGCCCAGTATTGTTTTTTTAATCTTGCTATATAATATTACACCATAGGATAAAATCAGAGCATTCACTGACTATTTCTTCACTAGATGTCCGAGGACTGCCTGACCCTGAACGTGTTCGTTCCTGGCACCTTGAGCAACACGACCAGGAAGGCTGTGATGGTGTGGATTCATGGCGGCGGCTTCATGAACGGAGGGACCAACGTGTACCATTTTCATGAATTCGGTATGGGTCACTGTGACCGTGTCGAGAAACGACAGCGAACTGAGGGTTTGTGTAACAGGGTACCCGTCTTCCGTTACATTTCTACAACTTAGGGTTAGCGTGACTAATTGGCTCAAAATCTGTGAATGTGAAACCAGGCCTCTCTTGTTATGCAGCACCACACCACGCAAAATAAACACGTCTTAATATTTTTCTTAAACCTGCACTGGGTCCTCCTTTTCAGCTATTCAAGGTGACGTCATCGTAGTATCAGTCAACTACCGCTTGGGTGCATTCGGATTCCTGAGCACTGGTGACGTCAACGCTCCTGGTAACGCTGGACTCTGGGATCAAATAGAGGGACTGAAGTGGGTGAGAGATAACATAGAAAACTTTGGCGGAGACCCTAATAAGTAAGTGCTTAATAACGGTCGATGGTAGACACTTTTTATCTGCACCAATGTCGTCAGGTTCTATATGCAAGGCACATTTTTGGACATATTATCTAGATTAATGCATATAGAAAAACATTCTGATTATAGCTACTTTTTTGGTTTTTTAAGAAAATTAAAATGTTTTTAATACTTGTCTCAAAAGGTAAGCAAATTCAAATCAATGAAAACTGATATAAATATAACCGGTAAGCTGTTCAGCGCCAAAAATACAGAATGCGTTTTCAAATAAGAGAAGAGTTGGCAAAGTAACGTGTGTTCTAATTCACTTTCGATCCACTAATTTGGTTTTACTGTATGTCTTCCTTAAATTCTTTGAAATATTTGCCAGTAGTGATGAGTTAAATGTTTAATACAGTTTTATGTAATAGTTGTCCACTTGTAGAATATATCAAAATTGTCATTTCAAGTGTGACCATCTTCGGTGAGTCGGCAGGTGGCAGTTGTATCTCACAATTAGCCATGACATTAGCCGCTAGAGGTCTTTTCCGTCGCTTTATATCCATGAGTGGCACCGCGCTGACGGAGTCGGCCTGGGTGAAAGACGGTGCCGATATTGCTACCAAAGTTGGACAGAATCTTGGGTGTAATGCTGAAGCCTCAGAAAAGGCAAATTTGGCAGCTTGTCTCCGCGACGCCAATGCGACCGCCCTGCTCAAAGCGTCAGCTCGGGAAGTGTTCCCTAGGCATGTTACAACACCATTTGGTCCTGTCGTTGATGGCGACATGTTTCCTCTAACTGTGTTGGAAATGCTGAAGGATAGCAACTCGGACGTGGTGAGAAACTTCTTGTCTCTGGACTACATGGGCGGATTCACGAACTCTGATGCTGGAGTCTACCTTCTTGTGCTACCCTTTAACACCACCCTTGGCGTTCAGCCCAGTTATATGAGGGACACATTAATCCCTCAGTTTGCAGCGGAGGTGTCTTCCTACCACCAAGATGAAATAGCACGGAGACTTAGAGGACTTTATTACGACGCAAGTGCCGACATGGCAGAGACTGGACGTCTGATGGTCAACTACTACACCGATACCCTTTTTGCTGTGCCTACAGTTGGCTTCCTCAGATATCATCTCATGGCACCAGGTGGCTCCACCTATCTTTTCTATTTCACCAAGGAACCCTCGTTCCCGCATTTGGTACCTGTACCTGCCTGGTTTGAGGGAGCAAACCACGGGGACGACCTCCTCTTTATGTTGGGCTTAGAAGTTGATGTTTTGATAAACAATATTAATTTCACCGAGGCAGAAAAGAATATTTCTAGAGCCTTTATGACCTACTTTGCGAATTTTGCAAAGACTGGGTAAGTCTGAATGCATGTGTCAACGCTTAACCTTCAAACTATACGTTGTAGATAACTTTATCATTATTGAATTAAACATGTATATTCGAGGTTAATTGACGTCACCAAAATTAGGTATATGAGCCAAATTTACAGGCAAGAGACGAAGTATATACATGCGCAGTGAGAAAAAATGGTAGGCTATTATAATCTCAGTAATTACATGAGTACCTTCCATTATTATTATTAATAATTATCATTGTTAATTTTTGTACCTTTACAGAAATCCTAACACCCCTGATGCAGTCCCAAGCCCGTGGCCAAGCTATACGCATGCGGATGAGGCGTATCTAGACATCGGTGACGTCATCCTCAATGAAACTGACGTCATACCAGAGCGTATTGACCTCTGGTTAGACACCGTCCCTGCCATAATCGCCAAACCGACCACTTCCGCTCCGCCCACCACGCCAGTGGCCAGTGATGGGAATCTGGACCTAATTAGCACTATACTTGTTGCTCTTATCTTGTTGAACACATTGATACCATTTCCTTAAATGCACTCCATTGTTGACTGATCTTTTCAGTGAATCAAAGTGACCTCTATTTTGCATAATTTTAAAATGCCGTATAGTCTTTTGTTATTTACCTGTAAAAAAGGAAGTGTCGTTTATGTCTGTAAAGTAGTGTTTTATACTCTATACTTTATATAACATTAGCATAAATAGCTTTTTTTTCTGTCATAATGTGTAAGTGGTCAGTGTAAGCTCTACATGGATAGCCAAATGTGGACGTAGGGACTGTTTCACGAGACAGTTTTACCCCAAAGGTGATCTAACAAAATATAATAGGAAAATACCTAACAAAAGAACAAAATACTAAAAGTTGCCCTTAACTTTTAGATTTGAAAATTTTGTCTTCTTCGGTAGTCCTGTAAAAATGATGTAACTCTTGATCTGCGATATCAGCCCATGTCTTTGTTTGCTATACACACATGTAGGACAGGCGCAATATTCCATTTGAGTAAACAACATCTGACACAGTTCGTGGTCAAAATGGGCTGAAAAGCGTGAGTTTCCAGTTAAGACCAACGTCCGATATCAAGTCCTGTTGTGAGGCCAGTCCATGGTGCAAAGTGTACGATAATCATCGACTTGATTGACACTGCTAGGAACCAAAAGCTATCTGACCTTCTGTGGATACAGGCCTACCAAACTACCAGACTCGGCACATAAGGATCCTGAATTAACCGGTATATCGGACCACACTACCCGTTTTCAAGGTGTGTGTCAGATTGCATTTCGGAGTACCAGTCAGAACACCGACAGGATGAGCCCGCGGTCGTCCTACAAAATTTGTTCCGGTTATCCTTATGTGCCGAGTCTGGAAGTTGGGTAGGTCTGGGATAGAGTCCAACATAACATTTTCTTGTGGAATGGCGTTTTATTGTTGATAGAATACATGTATATATAAGGATGATTGCGCTGTTGTCTTTGCCACCATGTTTATGATAACATTCCATTAAAACAAGTCTTGTTTGAAATGGATTGTAATATAATGAAAAAAATTACAACTCTTTTTCAATGAAAATGTACTGAAAAATAATGCACTCTATACGCCTATAAGGTGCTCACTGAGCGCTCTTGTGCATTTATCGACGTGCTTTTAGGGGTTATAACTTTAATCTCCATGCATACACATAAACTGAATATGTAAAATTTAACAGATTCAAGTGCCTACGTGTACCTACATCCTAGAATTGTTTTTAAAATCTTTGAAATCGCTGTTAAATTGATTTGAAAAAAGGCCTTATTATAACTGAATTCATCGCAGCTGGGACTGTTAACACTGCACCGCAGGGAGAAATCTTATCTATTGAACTCTGCACTCACCTATTGACATACGTTATGATACATGTAGGGTATGTCAAAGTCTATATCACTCACTGTCATCCCGCGCAAAACGACTGTTGCTGAATCACAGTTCGGGCAATAGAAATGAAGGGCAGACACGTAACAAGCTTTACCCTAACGTTGTGTATTCTAACAACGTTTCTATACAGGCAAGTTAGCAGCCAGGGGCTGGTTAACACCACAAATGGTACCTTGAGTGGGATCAGGGAGATGGTTGGCGAGAAACCAGTGCACCTGTTTCTAGGTATCCCATACGCCAAGCCCCCCGTGGGCGAGCTCCGGTTTAAGAATCCACTGCCCGCCCTAAACTGGACAGGTGTCAGGAATGCCACCGAGTTTGGAGACACCTGTATGTCGGCGTCCCCAGTGTCGCCTAAGGTAGGTGGGTATTGCAATATATCCAGCCGGGATGGGCTTCTGATCATGTGTTCGACCATTAAGCAAATCATCCACCAGTCCCCAAACAAGCGCCCTCCGCAGGGTGGGAAACCGTATGACAATCTAAGACGAGTGGTGGTATGTGCTGGCGGGTTGACTGGTCACGTATAAGTTGGTTGGTATATACTTTAGGTCTCAAAACAACCGTGGTGAAAATACAACTTTCAGTTTTGTTCGATATCAGTAATTACACTTTCATGAATGTCCGTTTTATCTGATTACAAGCCGACGTGCAAAGAGAACCTGGGCCAGAAACATTTCGGAAGAATGGGAAGGTGGGGGAAAAGATCCCTTGCTATTGAAACATTCATTATATCATATGCCAAGCACAAATCCGCACATTATATCTAATTGTTAAGTTTATGTACAAGGAAAAACTGATTCTACGGGGAACGTTCAAAGTTTAGATGAATAATATTATGACCCTGTTGTTATCGTCACTTTATTCCATCGTCTCGCTGTACATACAAACATAGCCTGCGTGACGATAATCAAAGTACATGAGTTGAAAAACAACATTGATTCATGGCATGGTTCACCTGAATCAAAGTTTATAAAAATGATCAGCATAGGAAAAACGTTTTTGACATTTTAGATTATAGGCAGACAGACTGACGTGTGGATAACATTAGGGTCCTTTCTTTTCAATTTGCAACCCTAGCTAGCTGTCTAACGTGAGGTTCGCTTGAAATCACGTATTTGCAATTCTTTTATTAAACTGTTTGTCCTCCTCCTGTCTACTTGATACTTGGTTATGTAAACAACTTGATATTTATTTTGCGTCTTTTTTACCTGTGTCTCTTTCAATCATGTCGATGTAGTTATAAAATTAATAGGAATCGCGTTTGCCAGGCACATTGTATTTGACTTGTCATCCGTAAATGTGCGGGTAATATATTATATGAAGAACTATCAAAAACACTATACTACCGAGCGACAGGCAGATCTGCTCTTTATTGTCTGGCACGTACGGTGTGACTGTTCTGTGATCCGATATTATCCGGAGGAAAGGCTACATACATAGAGGAAGCCTTACACGTTAAACCTGGGGTTGCTCAATGGAAAAAATAACAATCGAGAGCATTATATAGCGTCAATAAAACAGAGATTGTGGCTTTTTTTTTATATGTAAAGATACACAATGTATCTGTACAAATGAAGACCGTAAGGTATACTAACGTTCTGTGTTTGCTGGGAGGACGGCTAGGGAGGTTTCTGATCCAATAGTTGAACTATACATCAATCTTATCTGTAAATATGACCTACGATTGTGACATACAAACATTGTAGTTATAGGTTGATGGAAAGGGTTGAACTTTATCATGTGGCACATTCTGTCCCCTCCTTTACCAAATAAAGGGGGGGGGCATAAAAGTACAGAGTTTGTAAAAGCCTCTTTCATGTACTCAGCACTGAAAAATAACTTAATTTGTAATATTTTTCAGTTTTATCTACTCCAGGAAACATTAGAATCTATTTAAAAAAACACAAAATTTGCTCCGTTTTCAGATGTCCGAAGATTGCCTCACTTTAAATATCTACGTCCCAGGTGACGTCATCGACAGCGGTCATAGCAATGTGACGAAAGCAGTGATGGTATGGATCCACGGTGGCGCATACAGGTCCGGGGCGTCCTCGGAATATGACTTCAGAAACTTTGGTTAGTTTTATAATACAATTTACGTCTGAATAAAAAGATTATACATAAAACCAGGCATGCACAGAAAGCATTATTTATTTATTTATTTATTTATTTATAGAGACCTAAGTGCGATAATATGCCTATGGGTGAAAATTTAATTTGATAACAACCTTTGTCAATTTGCAAACCTTTTAAATGCAAATCTCACTTTATTTTTGATTTTGTCCTGCCATTCACAAGCCATCATTTTTATAATGTTTCCTATACCCAATG